TAATTTCTATAGAAAATTTATCTGAGTTATGGACAACTATTTGCCCATATTCATTGAATTCGAGATCTATCTTCTGATAACTATTTCCAGGAATCATTTTAACTTGAGTTGGACCTTTTTTTTTTTTTTTTTTTTTAATTTTTACATTTTCAAAATTTCGAATTATGTCATTATTATAGAATAAAATATAAATTTAAAATAAATTTTTAACGAGTGAATTGTCTAGATTTAAAATCATTTTTAATCTTTTTTTTCTTTTTCTATTTTTTTCCCCCCCTTGATGAGCGGGGGTTCGCCACCCCGCCCCATGCCCCACGACGGGTGCCACGCCTTGTCCTGCCAATTTGTTCAGAACGGATTTTTTTTCCTCATTCAGGACCGGGCCCCGTCTGAAACGGACGGGCAGGTTTTTCTGCCATCGCTAGCCTGTTTTTCTGTGTCATAAGTTACAATCACTAGTGACTTTTCCTCTATATTCGTCCTCTGCAACGGTTCTTGTCTTGCGTGCGTTGTCTTTTTATGTATTCTATGTCGTAAAAATCTTTTTATATTTACGATCAACAGGAAAAGAATGCAACTTGGAGTTGTTGAAGCCTAATTTTTTCAATCTTCACCACAAAATCAATCTCTCTCTCTTCCACAGTTCATTGTAAATCAGCAAAAATGTCTGAAAACACCACAAAATCTCCCATCAAAACAGTCGTTGTTCTAGTCCAAGAAAATCGATCATTTGATCACATACTTGGATGGATGAAGTCCATCAACCCCGAAATCGACGGCGTTACGGGCAACGAATCCAACGCTTTATCCACATCCGATCCTAACTCAACCCGAATTCACTTTGACAATCAATCAGGCTATGTCGAACCAGACCCGGGTCACTCGTTCGAAGCGACATATGAACAAATATATGGTGTGCCATGGAAAGAGTCCCAAAATCTCCCTCCAACAATGGAAGGATTTGCCCAGCAAGCAGAAACTATACAGAAAGGGATGGCTAATATAGTAATGAATGGATTTAAACCAGATTCTATACCTGTTTACAAAGAATTGGTGACTGAATTTGCTGTGTGTGATCGGTGGTTTTCTTCAATTCCGACATTGACGCAGCCAAATCGGCTGTTTATACACTCTTCAACTTCCTATGGCGCCACAGCTAACGACACAAAAATGCTTGTTCAAGGGTACCCACAGAAGACGATTTTTGAATCAATTGAAGAAAATGGTTTCTCTTTTGGGATTTATTATCAGTTACCTCCTTCAACTCTCTTCTACAGGTATCATCTTCAATTCCCACTACTATTCAGTTGTGTTCAATATTTTACTGAGCTGTTGATTTTTATCCCTTTTTTTTTTGACGTGTTTAATAAAAGACGTCAAAGTCCAAACTCTCGTATCGAGCTAGTTTCGAACATTTCGAATCCAATAGCTATGTCAAAGCGCTCGAATAAAGTCGAGTCAAGATAGCTGATTTGCCCGTGAAATTTTTATTGCTAGTCTCAACTGAGCCCATTTGTGGGCAAGTTTTCGAACTAAGACTTGGCTCGACTCGTTACAAAATTCGGGTTTTTCGAAGCTCGTTTAAGTTTTATTGCCCCATCACAAGGGGACAACTGTTCCATGCGGCATTGTACGTGCAGCATGATTCCTTTAATAACCGATAGATCGATTTAAAGGACAGTGCTTTTGAACAATTGCACGTATCAAATCTTGCCCATGTTGTTTTTAGGGTATGATTTGGATATGGGAGGGAATCGAGAGATGTTATTAATATTTTTTTTATTATTTTATTATTTTTGTTAAATATGATTACGCTGTGTGATTGATAGCCTTCGAATAGCTCGGGGGCTAAAAAAAATAAAGACCCTGTTTGACAAAGTTTTTGTTCTATAAATTGATCAAATTTTATTTTCAGTCACATTTTATTGAACCCTCAATATTAATTCTTGACTTGCCAGCTTATAACCTCAAAAGGTTTTGTCAAAACCGGGGGTAAAAATTTGAACACGTGGTGATTGATATTTATTAAGTACCAAGGAGGTGAAATTGGTCAAGCCAAGTCGAGCAGCTCGACTTGCCCACCATCGAGCTCGGCTCGACCAATCACTTAGTTCAGCTCCTGCTTACATATGAGACAAGCCGAGTGCTCACCGTTTAACAAGAGTGTACACGCCTTCACATGAGAGGTCGATCGGAAGTATTTAATGGGCATGGGACCCCTTCCCATGTGAGCACACCCGGGCACAAATAGCTTTTTCCACTTCAATAATGCATGCATCAATTATTTAATTCTTTATAATTAATTATGAGAATAAAGTGTGTTTAGTGTCCACCAACTAGCTGTCAGAGCAATAAAAAATGAATTATGTCACTGTGTTAGAAGGAATACAATGACTAAAGTGTAGGTGGTAGAACATGAATGGAAAGAAAGAGGGTTTTGCTAGAAAAATAGGGAGGCTGATTGACCGCTCCCCCTATTTGTAGGGTCCTGTCAAGGAGGCGGTCAGCCTCCGTGTTACAGGAGCAAAACCCTAAAAAAATATTACTATATTTTAAATAATTCAATAATAAAATGTCATACGACATTATTGCAACTTTTTTTTATTCTATTTGATATTGTAATATGATTATTTTAAATTTATTTATGATTATTTTAAATTTATTTATTAACTAATGCGTTATGAAAATTACTGTAATATTCAAAGCCATCAATCACGACCTATTGGCTGGCGTTCACTCACTTCATTTTTCTAGTCTCTGGAGGCATAATATAACTTTGACCGTTAGAATATGAAAGACTTTTTAAAGGAAATTTTGAATCGAAGGCATTGAACCTTTCAAAATCTTGCGGTTCGATCCTAAATCAACAAATATATGGAAAACATCTGGATAGTCTCCATCCAAATGATTATCAGTTGACCAAAAGTCAAATGTTAGACATTAATTTCACCAATTTTAGAAATGGCCAAAGAATACCTTAGTACAATGGTATTGATTTTTCATTTCAAAAAATCAAATTTTTTTTATTTTTATTTCACTATTTAAGCTGTCATTTTTTTTTTACTTTTTCTCACACAAATAAATCAATTGAAATAATTAATATAAGAAAAAAAATATAAAAATCAAAGAAAATATGGATCTTCTCCACTTACTCCATTCACCCATGACCCATCACCAGCATCATCACCACCACTACCACCGTTATTGGAGAGATTTTTCTATTTGGCCGGGTTTTATTTCTTTTTAATTTATTCATAGAAAAGTCTATATTGCCCTTAATAAAATGATTCTTCTTATATTGCAATATATATCTCAATCTTTTAAACTATTTTTATCTAATATTTATTCTATCCTGAATTTTAGCATATAAGTCCATTCTATGATCTAATATATTGGAATATTTTGCAACATATTGTTCATATTTTTTATTAAGTATATTATATTTTTCAGAAGATACATTTATATTTTTTAATTGAAAATAATATTTTTTATTTCTTCTAACATTCTTTCTAATAAATTATCTAATCCTGTAATTGTATACCTTGGCATTCAATCATAAATAATCCCTACGATTCTTTAAGATCTTAAAAAGATTCGTTCTAATTTTAGCAAAATTAATAGTCTTACATTAATTTTGATATGGACATTTATTTTTAGAATTGAGTGATCTTCGAGCTCTGAATATGTAAACTGCTTCGGCCTCTCACTTTCACAGAATCTTTACTATTTCAGCTTTATCATTTCTAAAGAATAAATTTTTAGACTTCGATTAAAGAAAACTCTCTTCTTTGCTAAAATAGGCAAGAAATTTTCTAATAGATCCTTCAAGAATCTATAGAAATAAAGATTTAGAAACTCATTGATATCAAAATATTGGAATTATATTTCTATAAAAATTTGTACAAGACTTCTATTTGGTACAAAAGGATTTCCAAAAAAACTAGTTTTGAACTGAAGATAGTTTGAGAATATATATTGATTCTTAACTACAACTCGAGATATCTCCTTTATTTCCTAATACCTCTATTTATACTTAATCTATTTAAATCATTGCATACATCAACAATATCAAAAGGCATACTTGCCTTTTTATTATTGTCCTTTTTGGACCTACATCTTCACATACGGCTTCTGCTTTTTATCAAAGGAGCATCTTCCTTTCTATTATTGTCATTTTGTCTTTGTGTCTTACATGTAGTTGGGACAATCACTTAGCTGGCAAGATTCCTTGATGGAGGTAGGACATCCTGGAAATTGATATATATCGAATTTTATGATGTAGTCCCTCAAGATTTCTAATTTTTCATGTCTTCAATTTGTAACTAGCATCCAATTTTCATATTGACATAAACATGAGAATTTTTTATCATACAAATTTTTGGCAATATTGTATATAGCTTTGATTCCAAGTGCTCTTCTATGCTTTATCCATGACTTCGTCATTAATGGAGCTTTTCTATCATTCTCCATAACATCTATTTGGAAATTGGCTGCTAAATACTCAATTGATATTATATGTTCAACTGGATAATAAATAATTGCATCATATTCAAGACTTATTAAATAAAATTTTAGATATATTTTTCATTGTTTGGCAAATTTTGATACTTCTTTTATGAACATATTATCAAATTTTGATATTTCAATCAAATTCTTTCCTGGATATATTAAATCCAGAAATCCATAGTCTGCAATTATCTTTATGAATGAAGGGTTTCCTCTTTCCATGGCTGTCACTCTAGGATAAACATTATTTTCTGGAGAGATAAAATATGAATCACTTATTTTAATTTCATAGACAATCCTGACTATTTTAGCATATTCGTCTTCTTTTGGATTTAAAGGGATCATATCATTTTGATCTATGATACTGATAGTTTTAGAGTCATTTTTATCTCCATGTATCATTACTTTTTTAGTTGATGTTACTGGAATCGAACTTCCTTTTTTATCAGTTGGTATAATGTCACGTCTGGGTCCACCGTTACTTTCAGCTGTCACTGTTTGGTATTGATTTGAAAAACTCATTTCTGAGCTCTTTGGTATATCTGTCTCAGACGATATATTTTTTAGTTTTGTTGTAATAGCATCAATTTGATTTTTGAGTTCTATGGTTTCTTTATGTTGCTCAAAAGTGATATTCAACAATATTTTTATATTTGAGTTGAACATCTCTGAAATCTGTATTGCTCCAGTATCTATGTCTTCAGCTTCTTTAAGAAAATTTATCCTTTTTTGTATATTAAAATAGATTAATATAAATCCATGACCTTAGCTTTATCCATCAGCAAATTCTATGTTTCTGCTAAGAAAATCTACAAAAAAATTATTAACTCATTTAATATGAATTATATCAAAATTATAAAATGCTAAATAAGCTTGTCATTTATGGAGCTTTTTGTATTGAGATTCTGATGGTAGTTTATTCTTGACTAATCCTACAACTTGAGAATTATCAGTTTCAACAGTAAATTTATTGGATAATAAAAATAATGATTTTTGAATTATTGTGTATGTTTTATAGTATATATCATTGGTATGACTCTTATTGTAACATTTTTATTGTAACTTGTTTACTTCCAAGAATTATATTATCCAAGAAATTTACTGTTAAAATTGATAATTCTCAAGTTGTAGGATTAGTCAGGAATAAACTATCATCAAAACTCTAATACAGAAGACTCCATAGATAGCAAGCTTATTTACCATTTTATAATTTTGATAAAATTCATATAAAAGGAGTCAATAATTTTCTTGCAGATTTTCTTAACAGAAATATAGAATTTGCTGATAGATAAAGCTAATGTCATGAATTTATATCAATCATCTTACATATACAAAAAATGATAGATTCTCTTATAGAAGAAGCTGAAGACATAGATAATGGAACAACACAGATCTCAGAGATATTCAATTCAAATATAAAAGTATTGTTGAATATCACTACTGAGCAACATAAAGATACTATAGAACTCAAAAATCAAGTTAATGCTATTGTAGCACAACTAAAAAATATACTGTCTGAGATAGATATACCAAAAAGTTCAGAAATGAGTTTTTCAAATCAATACCAAATAAGGATAGTTGGAAGCAGCAGGGGACCCAGACATGATACCATACTAACTGATAAAAAAGGAAATTCGATTCTAATAATATCAACTAAAAAAGTGATGATATATGGAGATAAAAATGATTCCAAAACTATCAGTATCATATATCAAGATGATATAATCCTTTTAGATTCAAAAGAAGAAGAATATGCCAAAATAGTCAGGAT